AAGTTTGCAGCTTGAAACATCTGTTTCGGCATATATGCTACGTGTTTTTGCATTGCAGGTGGGCTGTTCTTGGTCTAGTGCATGAGTTCCCGAACTTTCTCAGCACAAAGCCTTCTAGAACATTCCACATCCTGATACTTTTCTGCCGACCCTCATTTGGGAACCTCTGGCCTAGCTGATAGCGTGCTCAGACTACGAGAATCCAAGGGCTCATTGTTTGCATACATTGCTACATAAAAACAATCTTCACTTTGGAGCTGTGGGTGTGCTTTGAAAATGACAGTTAAAACCCACAAGATTAGCTCAAATTTTTTCACTGGGTGGTGTTTACTACTTTGCCACTAATTTAGTCTATCAGTTCAAAATTAGAGGCCATTATATGTATATAACCCTTGTGTAGTTATGCGCAAGCAAACAGGCATCACAGATTCGAAATATCCTATTTTAACTGAACAGAAAAATGATAGGGAAGTTTTTATTTTTACAATATGTGTGTGTGTGTGTGTGTGTGTCTATAAAGGTAAAAATCAATACATGTGTTACTAAAACACGCAACCGAAGCAACACGAATAAAATTGAAAGTTCAAAATTACTTTTTACTTTTTGTCACTATCCATAATAAATTTCAGACAATTTTATGCACACAGAAAAAAAACAACATATATAATTACTCTATAAGCTTAAAGAAAGAGAATAATGTTATATAGACTTTCCTTTCTCACATTCCAAATGTAATTTCTGTTTTGGAGTGGAGGTAACGTCAAAACGAACTTCTTTGGATGAAAGGGTTGTTTACAAGGGTGTAATGGTCACTAGTGATACCTACACTATCTGATGCTTTCATTAAATGCCCCATCAACAGATCTTCCCGGAAGAGGAAGTACGATTCCTGAACTTCCGGTTGTTTTTCTCGCTTTTCTTTTTTGCATACGATTTCAATCACTTTATGCATACAGTTTCAATCAATTGAATATTTTCGTATCTTCCCCGACTCTGACAAAAGAGGACACGAACTGTATCGCAAGGTTGTTGTGAAGAGAAATCGGCCGTTTCGTGCCACTTCCGTTTGGATGATGTGTGGCAGGCTGATGACATGTTGAAAGTATTCGAGTAAGACAGGTCGATTAAAACTATTTTCTCGTGTATTATTATTTTTTTCAGAATTAAAGATTTATCAAGTATAATTCTATAGTCAACCTTTTTACTTACGCGTGACTAAGATACATATTTCACACACTAGTCGACCATATGCGATTCACTGAGTCATTCCTTTTGTAGAACTCCTAAAATCAGATAAGTTATTCATTTGCAGATTTAATAAGTAAGTTTGCCTGTCCACAAAGAGGACTTGTGAGGGAGGCTAAATTATCCACAAACAGGATTTATGAGATCAAATATAAAAAACACTAGCAAAGCTCACGAGGTCAACTAACTTATCTATTAACAAGGTCCATGAGGTTAACTGGAATATTTTCTGATAGAACTCATGAGGTTAAGTTGATTCCCCTCTAGCAAGGCTCATGAGGCCAATTAAGTTATCCTCTAGCAGTATTCGTGAAGTCAGCTAGACTATCCATTGGTATAGGTGAGGTCAGGGAGGCCACTGGCTTGAGCTATGAGATCAGGTAGATGGACAACAACTCCTTCAATCTGGATGAATGTACAATATACAACAGAAACTTTCAACTGAATAAGAAGCTGGTAATGTCTAATTTAATATGAGGCGCAGAGTATTCATAACGTTTAATTGAAGCAAAGGATGACGTAAGAATGAAATTACTTCAAAAAATCAGTTTCATTTTATTACTCCTGATTTATTATCCATTTTAAATATTTTATATTTTTCTGGCAACAAATCATAAAATATTCATTAAGCCTTCCTTGCAAATACTCGTGAATTTTTGTTCAACTGCACACCTTGAAAATTTCTTTGCTCTAAAACAAAAACTGGATACAAGGGGTTCCCAAACTGAAGTGGTATACAGTTCTTGTATAACAATTATACGTGCATGTAAACGCGGTTTAAAATCACTTCGATTTTTTTTTTTTTTGCTTTGTCATAAATAGAATGAAGAAGACACACCCTCTATTAGTTATCACCCCATTGGACTTCGACTAAGTAGAGTTTAATGAGCAAATATTGATTATTCTGTCCTTTTAGTCATGATGTGGTGGTGTATGTATACGCATATAAAATGAGAGGTATACACGGTGTCCACCTTAGCCACGTAAAGGTTTTGAATGATGAGCGGAGTATTAGTGTTCCTCCCCTTTACTGTCTTCAAGAATGAACACGTAGATTCTTCTCCGCCCCCCCCCCCGAAATAAAAGACAACGTTAACTTTTTGATTGTCGACATAGGTATGTTATGTACTCATATTATTATGGTGTCATGGCGCAAGTAAAACATTTCATTATTAAAACGTTTTACAATCTCTTATACGAATAGTAATTTACCTATCCCTTGGATAACGTTTTTATATAATCAAAATAAGAGCTGAATACAATATGCACCTATATTGGCAATACATCTCTGTTTCATATCTTGGTAATAGAAGGGTTAAGCCTATTTCAAAACAGGTCAAGTTTACTCCCGCGTGCGAGTTAATTTGTCCCATTAAGCCAGTATGCCAAAGTTTTGTTCTGTTTTTATTTGTGTGTATGCATTTTCGTTGTTGTTGTTTAGAAACTTATGAAACAAAAAATGAAACTTACTTTTGAGTAGTGTTTGTAGTTTTTAACTTTAATTTATTAGTGAATATAAAATAGAATGTATCAGTGACATGAAACTGAGATTTTCTAAGCATTTTAGATGACTGTTTTAAATATACACGGTTTCGCAAGTTTTATCTTAATAAAAATATCTCCAGATCAGAGGCTGAAAACCCACAACAGTAACAGCAAACTTTTACAGTACAGTTATGCAAATATATAACAAAGAAAGGTAATAAAGTCCCTTCTTCATCCCAGATTCATTATTGGTACTTCCGCTTGTTTAACTATTGTTTTAAGAAATGAAGACTTTTTGGCCAAAACGTTGACTCGTTATCTTTTGCCTTACAGCGACTTTAACTATTCTTTGGATGTTTAGATTTTATCAGACTGTAGCCGTATTTCTTATTGGTATCAAGTACTAACACATATAGGGGTTGAACAAAAACAAATCAATAAAAAACACCTGCTTGAAGCAGTACCCATCCTTCCCCAGATGTTCGATGGATTAGTTCTTCAGCTGACTGATTAATCTAGTAGTTAAGCTGTCGGACTATGGAACTATGCGTCCCATTTCCGCAAAGAAATAAAAACATTCGCGCCCAGCTCTTTGAGTCAGTGGATGCGTCATAAAAGTGACGGTCAAATGCCACTATTCGATCAGTTCAGAATTAGGGACGGCTAGTGCAGGTAGTCCTTGAGTAGCTTTGCGCTAATATCTTGACACCAAATAAAGACTGATTAATTTGTATTCCAATGACGTATTATTTAGATACATGTAAGCTATATTCGTCATTATTCGTCAAGCAACGCTGGAAAGAAGTAGACTTAACTGGCTTTCAAAGAGGATAGATTGTAGGAGTTCAGTTCATAGGTGATTTAATGATCCAAACTGTACAACTTCTTGGCTTTGGAATAGGAATAATATCAAAGGTTATTAAAGAATGGATATTATCCCATAAGTATCATCAGGTAAATGTAAAAGTGGCTAGAAGATCATTATGAGTGCACGAGACCATCATGCTTTATGTCAAATTGTGCCCTCGAGAAGTAGAAGCTTGACATACCTTTTACGAACTTATACATTGCCCTATTGTAAAGAAGTGAAGCAGTTCTAAAAGTCAATGATGGAACCACCCGTTATTAAGATGTTTCTACTGTTAATTGTACTTTCACATAAAATGTACTGAATGAAAGCAATATCATATCTATATGAATATACTAGTACTGTTTTTGTCTGTTATATGTCCATGTAACTACTTCGCAGGGTGTGAATGGATCTTCACCCGAATTGGTATGGAGGTTCATTAGGTCTATGCGGGGGGTATATTAAAATTTTCATTTTTGTGGTTTTTAAGGGCGTTTTTTACCACTACTTCGCCCCCTCTATATGGATCTTCACCAAATTTAATATGGAGGTTCAATAGTTCCATGCAGGGAAAAATACAAATTTTCGGTGCCCCCCCCCCCACCCGTGGCACAGCAGCATGTCTGCGGACTTACAACTTTAGAATCCTGGTTTCGATATCCGTGGTGGGCAGAGCACAGATAGCCCATTGTAGCTTTGTGCTTAACTTCAAACAAACAAACAAACAAATTTTCGGTTTCACATTCTGTGTCTTGCAGTTTTTATGGGCATATTTGCGTTTTTTACCAATACTTTGTCCCCTTTATATAGATATTTACCAAATTTGTTATGGAGGTTTGTTGGATCTATGGGAAGATACATACAAATTTTCAGTTTTGCGTTTTGAGGTTTTTATGGGCGTTTTTGCGTTTTTCTTATTACTACTTGGCTCCCTGATGACGGATCTTCACAAAATTTGGCATGAAGATTCGTTGGGCCCATGGGAAGAAACATACAAATTTTCGGTTTCACATTTTGTGCTTTGCAGTTTTTATGGGTGTTTTTACAATTACATCTAAGGGAAGCAACTTTTCATGTCCTGAAATAACCTTACATTAATCATGAATCTACATAACTTCCGTCCAGGGGACGGGTACTCCAGCTAGTAGTCAATACATTATGTTATTTTGTTCTTTTTAGTGAGCTTGCAAGCGCTATGCTGTTTTATGTGCTCTTGAAATTTTCATGTAAATACAAAACACCCGCCAACATGTGTGTGTGTGTTTAGATCTATTCACAAACATACTAATATTAAATAATAGCACGTTTAAAGTATTACTGGTATATAGCACTATCTCTGTCTGTCTGTGTGTGTTTTGTTCCATCATGTCATATCTCTAACATCCGTCTCCGACTTTTTTTTTGTCTTCTGTGCCTCTAGGTTCCAATCAAGTGATCAGTCAGCCGGAGGACATGAGTCAGGCCTGATAGCTTAGCGTGCTTGTTCCACTTCAGTGCTCGTGCAGTCGAAACACCTCCCGAACCGTCCAATCACCTGCCTTGGTCTTTTTTATGATGTCGCTAGAGGAGGACTCAGAAAGTGTGGCCATGTACGAAAAGCCCTTAAAGATCAAGGCAAAGCGACCGAGGCAGAGAGTAGACGCAGGCGAACCAAGAAACAGTTATTCTAGTATTGCTAGCTTCAGCATTCGAACAAGCCCACCTATTCAGTCATATCAGAATGGATATGCTATGTCTCTGGCCAGCAGAGTGTATGACAGTTTAGTAACTCACCAAAACACAGAGTGTTCCGATATGGTTATAGACTCGGTTGTGCAAGACGTCAGCCCCAAAAGCGTAAACAGCCTCATTATCACACAAAACTCGCCAACTCAGACCCGCCCGAGTAAGATGTACCTGAACGACGGTGCTACTTCAGATGCAGACATATCTTCTTTTTTTATGCATAGCGCCGACTGTCCTTCTGTAGACCCGGGCAATGGTCATCTTCTCCGAGACTCTCTGAAGAGCCGGATGTCAGCCGAATTCTCTAGTAGTATGCCTTCGGTTTCCGGTGGGGAGCGAATAGAAAACAGGCCTGCTAGTCGTGGCAGGATGTCCGACCAAGAGCAGAACCGGCAACACCCCTCGCCAGCTCACAGTCCCACGGCTTCGCCGAGCTCTGACTGTAGTCGAAGTCCAGTCCGTCCTGAAGTGATGCCTAACAACACGTCCACGTCTGATACTAATGCTTTAGAGGTTAAGCGAGCTCGCGTTGAAAATATTGTGTCTACTATGATGCAATGTCCTAGCGGTCCGCGTCTGCCAGGGAATCCTTCCCAGGTGCCTGTGAATGGCTGTAAAAAGAGGAAACTTTACCAACCTCAACAGCATGAAGCTACTAGAGCTATGAACGGAGATGAAGAAGAAAATGAAGAAGACGAGGAAGATTATGAGGAGTTCACCGAATCACCGCCAAAACAGCGTCGAATAGTCCAAGAAGATCTTAAATTACAGTTGCGAAAAATGCAAGAACAACTAGCTATCATTCAGCAACAGTACACTGAGTTGTTTCAAGAACAAACCCAAAGTTCCCCACCTGAAAAGGCAGGTACTGCGTCATCCACAGAGGAAAGGAATAAAAAACCTGAGAAGAAACCGCAAATGTACTTCCACTCTAGTCCTATTGAAGTACGGGAAGGGTCTCCATCATTGCGTACTTCATTTTCTGGAGTAAATAATGCGAGCGTTGCTCCCAAAGTCACATCTATCGCTCACTCAAACGCAATGAAAGAATATACAACAAATGCTGTTCAGATGATTGAAGAAGCCAGACGACTAGAGAGACTCAGTCAAGAGAACGATCTGAAGGATCGAATCCAAGAAAACCGCCAGTCATGTATCGTTAAACCAAACGGTCATTCTGGCCAGTCTGGTATGACCACTGACTTGGATAGTTTGGTTGAAGCACTCAAATCTGAAATCTCGGCTACACTGGCACACATTATCGACTCTATCGTCACAAAATACAAGCAAACCAGGAACTTCTCTAAAACATTGGAACCAGAACCATCTAAAGATCTGACATTGTCTCAAATACTTGATCGAAAATCTCCACGAACTAAAGTAGTTGACCGTGGCAACAGAGTCAATGGTCAGCTTCCAGTTGGTCAGAGAGCTAGTCCTTTTTTGTGTGATCCCAGTCCCAGACCCACACTTTCTTATCCGCAAGGAATGAGACCTCCAGCTTCTTTATTCTGTCCAGCCCCTTCATCTCATGCAATTCAGCTTCCTCCGACGAATATCCCTCATCATTATCCTCCTCCACATCCTCACCTTTCAGGGAACCTTGAGGGAGCAGGAATAACCACAAATAATGACGTACTGGAGCAAACAGAGGCTATCTCCTTAGTTGTTACTCCAAAAAAGAAACGCCACAAGGTGACCGATACACGCGTGACCCCTCGTATAATGAACCGGTCTGTGGGTCAAGAAGATGCTATCCTTAAATATCCTTTCCTGTGTAGCACGACACAACCATCCATGGGTCCCCACGGCTACCCTCATCACCCACCGCCTCTAGTACCTGTAAGCTTACCCACATCTGTAGCTATTCCCAATCCTAGTCTCCACCATGGGGAATATTTTCCCTATCATTTTGAAAGCTCCAGATTAGCGTACTTCAATCAAGAGAACCAAGATGACGATTCCTTTTCGTCATCTCCTGCAGTACAAGCCCACTACCCAGGTCCCCACAGTTCTCCTTCTGACCCTTTGTCCTTCTCCTATTTGAAACAAGACATGGGAGAAGGATCAGATGGTGGTGAGAGTCAGAACTACGAGTCAAGTCTTGCTGTCATATCCTTTTTTATATGTATATTTTAGGTAATATTTATTATCATAATAACAAAACACTTCTGAATAGTTTATTGTAGTCAATGAAAAATTGTCAATATTCTAACTGTTTAAAAGTTGCTTAGTTTGTGATATAGCACAGAAAAAGAACTGTTGAAATTTGCATAATGTTAGCACGGACAAAGAAACACATCCACGGCTTCCATGAAAACTGTACTAGATATCCCCCGACGTACATAAAGGCTGATGTTTTGAGTACTGTGTATAACTTCCATGCTAAATATGGTCTCATTTTGTACTCTTCCTTTAAAATTTCAAACATATAGACCAGTTATGCTCAACTTGTAGATTTACACAATAAGTATTAAGTATATTCTTAGCATTAATATAGAAAACTCCAGTTACCACGTGAGTGTTCGTTTAAGATTCTCTGTTTAATCATGTAGTTGGTGTGTAGGTATAGTATGTACGAATGATATTGGTTGTTGTTTATGATTTTTTAATATTGAGGAGTTGCCAGTGATGATGCTATAATACCAGTTAAATAAAGAACGATTTAGTAAAAAAGAAAGGATTCGGCTTTTCTTTTAGGTATTCACCATGAGGTGAAACCACCTTGACTTATAGTTTATATATGTATATATATAATTTATCTTTAGCTTTAATCACGGGATATACAGGAAATGTTTATGACGTAAATATCGATCTAACTTGTGCTTCTCCCAACTTGCATATTAGCATTCTCCTCGTTATCTTATAATGTTTTACATTAAAAGTTATGGCATTATATTATTTTATGCATTTTGTGAGAAAGCTAATAAAATATTCCTTTAATTATTCATGTTTGAAAAATAACGGATCTATTATAATAAGCTCTGCTATTATGTATATATATATATATATATATATTATAGTTAATGAGATTTATGCTAGAATTGATAATGCTATTTTGGCTTCATTTCTTGAAATAACGTACGTCAGGTAACTTCATGGAAACAAAAGCTGTCATTTTTGAGAGCATGGTTGAATTGTAAGCTCTGTACAATTTACTTATGCTGGAAGCATTTATTACTTATATTTTTTTTACAAGTGATTCGGTGATAAGATAATTTCTACTTATTAATTCTGAGCAGATTTAAATGTTAATGAAAGCAAAGTCTAATTTAACGACAAACTTTACTGTGATTTGCAAAGTAAGGAGTAATACACGGGGGTAAGGCAAGAGATAAATGTCCTGGATGCTGCATTGTCCCTGTACTTGAAAAAAAATCGACCAAGAGAAAAACACACAGTTTGAAGGTCTTTGTTAAGTGTATGATAATGTATGAAATGAGATTATAATGTGTCACTGATAATTAGGAACGACCTACTTTTTCTTCACTGTGTATAACTCTTTCAGTTATCATTACTCTCTTACCCCTGTTTTTTCACTCAAGGTTTCTTTTCACCCATTGTTATCATTACTCTCTTACCGCTATTTTTTCACTCAAGTGTTACTAACAACGAATTATTGTCAAATTATCACTTTACTTTCGGATAAAAGCTAATCGTCTATTTTTTTTTATCTTTATTATGCCACAACCTGTCGCTCTTAACAGCTTCTCGTCGTCGCTTATGGCCAGAAGTATTAACCCTTAAATCACTAACTTGTTTGTATAGTGTTCACTAAGCAGTGTAATCCACATATTGCATCATACTGACTAATGTCGTGCTTTTCCTTGTTACAAATCTCAGCGTAAAGAACTGATGAAAAATACTTCGAGTGAAGTCATTCATTTTCTATGTAAAATACAACATGAGACTCCAGCAGTAATTGGTTGGATTAATATCAAAACTGCTATTTTGATGGTATTTTTATTTAATTTCTTTGTACGTCATTAGGAACTCCGTATCCAACAAAGTCACGAATCTGTAAACAATTGGGCGAATAATTAATTGTATAAAAAATTGTTTATAGAAAGCCGACGGTGCCCATATGGATCCCGCCATCAGTAATTCTAGGATTATTAAACGAAACTTTAGTGGAAACTAAAAGCTACAACGAACCACACATGTAAATAATGCGTGATCTGTTTCGGATGCAAACAATCCATGTGTTTTTTTCTTCTTTTTTTTTACCTAGCGCTGGTAGCGCATACAAAGCGATGGTTTATTGTGCATTTCGGTTCAAGGTATATTTTCTTCATTCTTATTGTATTTTTCTGGCAAGTGTTATGGTTTGACACTGCTGCCTCCTGTTTATAATATTAGTGACAGCATGACTAGGCTTAGAAATCTTTACAGAGTGGAATATTTAAAGTAAATACACACTCTGTATACGTACCCAGCTAAGCTTGCGTTTTAACGGTTGCGTGCCTTATGTATATTTCGTATCATTGTACTGCATGTATGCGGGTAAAGCTTATTTCTTCTCGTACTTTATATTTTGTTAAATAATTCACTTGGCTTGGCCTGGTCAGTAAGGATGAGTGTCTATCTAATATACAAAGCTCGTGCAACTAGAGCTATGTAGGTTTTCACTGGGACCGTGCTTTGCCTCGTTTATCCGGGCTAAGTTATCCTATAACCTGATTATATGAATAATTAATTACTTCTTCTGTCTGTATATTTATGTATAAATTACGTGTGTATGTGTGTGTGTGCATGTGTAGATTTTCCACGCGCGTTTTTGTCCGACTCCTATTTTGCGTGAACAAGGAACAATTAGATGTCAAATATGAAATTACACCATAAATCTTTTGTCATGCTGGTTTTAAATAAAGTTTTCCATAATTGATACGCAATATTGATGCCATCACTTAGAAGTGATGCTAAGTAAATAGTTTGAGAAAGTCCAGGTTTCCGACATTTTTCTTCAAATTTCTGTTAAAAGATTCCATTAATGCAGACACTACAAACAGTTCCCTAATTATCTTCTTGGACACGGAGCACGTTTAAATACTTATCATTTTTCGTATCATTGCCCCCCCCCCCAGTGGCACAGTGGCATGTTTGTTGCTAGAAACCGGGTTTTGATACCCGTGGAGGACAGATCACAGATAGCCCATTGTGTAGTCTTGTGCTTAACTTCAAACAAACAATTTTATCAAGTTATGCCTGCGACTGCTACATAATTATATGTGAATTAAGATCAGGTATTGGCATATATTTAATAATCAAAACCCATGAAATCTCATTTGTGCTCAAAGTTCGCCCTTGTGTTATTTTTATCAGGTCGTTTTGATGAAGAGTGAAAAAGGAAATTCATCTACTCAATAAAAAAGGAACATTTAGTGAGCTTCTCTTAACTATGTTCCAGCTCTGAAACACCGACAAAAACATATTGTTGTCATTGCTTTTATACGAAGTTCTTAATAATCACGTGAACAGAGAAATTACTTAGGAAACTCAAAACATAAAATTTTTAGAGCTTTAGTTTTGATTCTACGTTTATAAAATTTCAACGCATGATAAGTTTGCTACTGTTGGTGACAAAAATTCATGTTTTAAATTTTACGGTAGTTACAAGTACTCGTGTTATATATATTACAACAACAGCGCCTCTACCGGTAGATTAACCTCATATATGATAACAGTGAGCTTATTCTAAATGACATAAGCTGTGTAAACCAGACACATGTTTGACGCTTATTATATAGAAATGGAATTAACTGTGCTTTTGGAAATGGAAATATATTATTATTTTTTATTTATAAAACATAAATGGCAGTGTTCTAAATGAATAAGAATATCTCATTCAAGTGATTTATTCTCTTAACACACCAAAGTTATATGAAAAACGCTGATACAAAAACAAAAAAGACCTGAAACTTCTTGACCAGGAATAAACAGAGACCAGCCTTAAGAGCTGTTTGACTCGATTGTTTGATTGTTGCAGCCATGTGATTCAGTGTGTTATCATAATCAGAATGATGTAAGAAACAGAGTCATAGTAGAGAAACCCCATAACTCGACTACTTTTGGATTAAAGGGTGGAGTGTGTGCGCATGCGTATTAATTTTCTCCGTCATGAAATAACCAAGGGATTAGATATACCGTAACTGATTACAGTTGTCTTTTACTTGGGCTAACTCTCTATGTCCAGATTTACAAAGCTGCGTTAAGTCTACTTGAAGTTTGGTGATGACGTAAGTTTTGCTAAAGTTTTTAGTGATTTTTTATCCGTCTACATAAAAGCTGCACTTTTATTTTTTCTACAACAGGCAGTTAGTTGCCTCTCATTCTGGTGTACTCAAAACAATGTGGACGGAAGTTATGTTTTTACCACTGTGAGTTAGTCAGTAAGATTCCTCGAAAACGGCTGAATGGATTTGGACGAAAGTTGGTATACAGTTGAACTATAACCTAACTTAGAATCATTTAGTTTCTCGAGGGTAAAGGTTAAAGTTAAAGATCACAGCAAGGACACGAAAATCCAAAAAAATTCCTACCTGTGAACATGGAGACTGATTTTTTTACACTATCTTTGCTCAATAATTCAGTCAAAAATTATCGGATTTTGATGTAGAATATTATTCCTCATTGTTATGCTAAAAATAGTCTGTGTTCGTTGATAACGACGGACACACGGACACATTTTCGTATTTTTTGAGAACCGAATATGATCTGCGCTGCGTGGCGGAAGTATGCGCTCTACCGAGCGCCCTCTAGTCATTGTTTATTCTTCGATAAACAAAAGTTGTATTTTATGGTTTAAGTGAAGAAATAAAGAAAAACAACTCTGATAAAACGTGAATATAATTTTAACGCTGTCTGTTCCGCTTTGCAGCTACGTTACGACCCCCTGTTTCTCAATTTCTTATTCTACTAAGTTACCAAATGAATTAAATATATAGTGACTTTTAATTTTGATGTCGGTAAAAATCTGGAATTTAAAAGTTAACTAATGTTAATTAACGAATAATTTTCTGAATGAAACACATTAATATCTATGTATAGAGCATATAAATAAGGAACAAGCTCATAGCAATGAAATATTAATTTGAGTTGTGATCACGTCTTCT